TCCACAATTAAAAAACAGATTTATAACGTTTCTGCTTTTAGGATCTAAGAATCCTTAAATTAAGAGATAAATGAACTGTACATACAAAATAAAAAGCTAGATTCTCAGATGAGAATATCTCCCAGCTAATAAAATAAGAAAAGAAAAATATATCGAAGAAAAAACTCGATTCGAGGACAACCGTTAAATATTACAAAGACAAACTAAAACATTACCAAGATATATAAGATGACTCTTCTATAAGCCAACAGATAATAAATCTGGATTTGATTTGTAGACATTAGGTTTGCTTGATACGAAAAACACTTAGAAACATTTAAGCCCCACAAAATTACTGAAATATAAGAACTACATGACTTTTTATCTTATAAAAGTTAATGTACACAAATTTGGATCATGTCATTAACAGGAGAATTATGAATATATATTTTGATTCCTACTCAATGAATTTAAGTGATACATGCACATCTACAGTCTTTCACCTTGTTTCAATTCACTTCTCAATTGCAGCAGCCCTAATAATCTACTGCAAAGAAAATAATTCAAAGAAAGATGACTTTCCCAAAACTTCAAAAAGTAATTTGGCATAGACCCATGGACCATCACATTAGCAAAACAATTTTATCATAGCATTATTTTAAGGGTAAAAAAGTATGGGCCAGCATGGTGGCTCACGCCTGTAATCCTAGCATTTTGAGAGGCTGAGGTGGGTAGATCACTTGAGCTTAGGAGTCCAAGACCAGCGTGGGCAATATGGCGAAACCCCGTCTCCACAAAAAACACAAAAAGTTAGCCAGGTGTGGTGACACACACACACGCACACACACCTGTAGTCCCAGCTACTATAGGGCTAACGCAGGAGGATCACTTGAACCCGGGAGGTAGAGGCTGCAATAAGCTGAGATCGTGCCACTGCACCCTAGCCTGGGTGACAAAGTGAGACCCTGTCAAAAAAAAAAAAAATAGAGTAAAAAAGTGGAATTACTAAAATGTTAAGATATGGAAGTGGTTAAATAAACTGAGACAGTAAATAAAACTCTGGACTACTAGAAGCCATAAAATAACAGTTATGTGGCACCACAGAAAGCATGTTAAATCGAAAGACAATTATATCAACACTAATCATAGAATTATACACAAGCACAGATAGGATTAGAATATTATACTACTATATTATAGAAGTATAACAGGATTAAAGTACAGAAAATATAAGTGTTAGATCAGCAAGTGTAATTTAAAAGTTTTCTTTTAAATTTCTTTTAATTATGTTACATTTTTTTCAATTAAAAGTTTCAAAGGCTGGATATAGTAGCTCAAGCCTGAAACCCCAGCATTTTGGGAGGCCTAGGCAGGTGGATCACATCATCAGGAGTTCAAGGCCAGCCTGGCCAACATAAAGAAACCACTTCCCTACTAAAAATTTAAAATTTAGCCAGGTGTGGTGGTGGGCGCCTGCAATCCCAGCTACTCGGGAGGCTGAGGCAGAAGAATCGCCTGAATCTGGGAGGCAGAGGTTGCAGTGAGCCAAGATCACACCACGGCACTCCAGCTTGAGTGACAGAATGAGAATCTGTCTCAAAAAAAGAAGTTTTCAAATTCCATATTAAGCTCTATTACATTCACACACTTACACATGTAGAAAATGTTTTAAATCTTTTCTCTGGCCGGGTGCGGTGGCTCACGCCTGTAATCCCAGCACTTTGGGAGGCCGAGGCGGGTGGATCACGAGGTCAAGAGATCGAGACCATCCTGGTCAACACGGTGAAACCCCATCTCTACTAAAACTACAAAAAATCAGCTGGACATGGTGGCTCGTGCCTGTAATCCCAGCTACTCAGGAGGCTGAGGCAGGAGAATTGCCTGAACCCAGGAGGTGGAGGTTGCGGTGAGCCGAGATCGCGCCATTGCACTCCAGCCTGGTTAACAAGAGCGAAACTCCGTCTCCAAAAAAAAAAAAAAAAAAAAAATCTTTTCTCTGAAATTGTGCACAAAAGAAAGAGAAATTAAAAAAAAAATGTTTTAAAGCTTTAAACTAACTTTTTCCCACAAAATACTAAGTTTTAAATTTCAAATAATAAAACTACCTAATTTGGAATATCCTACAATCTGAGGCTAAAGAATTATTGTTTTACAATAGCTGTACTTACTATGTGAAATGCTTTCTCCAAATTTTAAATTTTAAAAAGGAATTTCCCAGCCAGATGCAAAGGCTTATGCCTGTGATCCCAGCACTTTGGGAGGCCAAGGCAGGCAGATTACGAGGTCAGGAGTTCAAGACCAGCATGGTCAACATGATGAAACCCCGTCTCTACCAAAAATACAAAAATTAGCTGGGCATGGTGGTGCATGCCTGTAATCCCAGATACTCAGGAGGCTGAGGCAGGAGAATTGCTTGAACTGGGACCTGGGAGGTGGAGGTTGCAGTGAGCTGAGATTGTGCCACTGCACTCCAGCCTGTGCTACAGAGTGAGACTCCATCTAAAAAAAAAAAAAAAGAATTTTCAATTCCAACAAGGCATCCCTTTACCAAAAGTCTATCGGTCAAACTGACAATCTGTGGCACCAGTATAAAGAAAATAAACATTTTAATTCGATTATAAAAGCTTATTTGCCCTTACTATTCAGCAACCACATTATATTGGAAATTCAAACTATGACAGAAATTCTGTTTTGCAAATCAAAAAGAACAAACGAAACAACCTGCCACTGACTCAGCAACTTTCTTTTTTATTTTACAACCTGTACTTAAGCTGCAAACTTATGACTAAAACCTAGCTTTCAATTTTTTTTTTTTAATCAGGTAGCCTCCAGAACCAGAATAGGCTCTGAAGGACTCCCCCAGCTTTCAAACTGAGCAGCAAAGCCAATGCAAAACCAATATTTGTTTTGGCAGGAAACTCCAATGAAAATATGAGATGTTTTGGTCTTAACTGGCAGATACACAAAGAGCAAAGAAAGGTGTCTTATTGAGTTATTATTTATAATGTAAAATCCCTTGTGTATAGCTACAAATTCGCTTTTATTGCAGAAACTTAATATGTTTCTTTAGAGAAAGCACCTCAACCAAATAATCTCCCAAATTTGGCACCAGGAATTGTTACAGCCTACACACCACTGCAGTTCCTTGTAATTTAAAACATTTGCGTTTTAAGAATAGTCTCCACATTCCAACCATGCTGCCAATTTCTTCAGCTAAAAGCTTAAGTTTATACTACAAAATACTGTATTTACTCTCGACAAAAGAATGCACTCATTTACAGAGTATACAGAACTAAATTACTACTCCAGTATACAACTTCAAAATTTCTCCAATATACAGCGTCAGCATTTCTAACATCATAGTTTTTCTATTATCCAAATCAGTAAGTCTAAATAGTAGTACTGTACACTGAACGAGGTACTACTGGCCAAAGTTAAGGCAATATGATCAGTTCACTAAAATAGGTTACACAAAAGATCAGACCCCTAAACTCAAAAAATTATTTTGCAAAATGGTCAACGGAGATACCAACGGGGAGGAAACTGTGGATTGAGTGGCAGAAAACCCTTTGCCATTACTGAAAATTTCAAGACAAGTCAAAGCACGCCTATATGAGAGGCAGATCATGTTCATGAAAACAAATCTAAGTTCACTGCTGAGTTCCCAATCTCACAGCAAGAAGGCAGTTTAGCAACTCTTTAACAGTAATACAAAGGACAGTACAGAAAATACAGAGGTTTCTGGTTTTTTTTCAAGGTTATGGTGATCAAGAATAGGTATCCTTTAATGTTCAGAGATAAAATTTTCCTTTTGCAAGTAATATTGCTCTTATCGCAGATACACAGAAAAATCATACAACGCTCTACATTTCTGATAGTGTAATACACACGACCACATCAAATCAAGTATTTATCCAGAATTCAGCGCCTTAGCACTAACGTTCTCCCCTCTCATTATACTCAGACAGGAAGGAAAAACCTATTCCTAAGTAAATTAGGGCCTGGGAAGAATGCCTCAACAACGGTTTGCACGCAATTAAGCAGGATCAGTGGGTCAATTTCTCAGGCTACAACGCTGGACGGTATCTCGGAGGCACAGGTAGAGACAGCTGAGGGTTCACTACTGGAAATGACACTTTCCTTCACATTTGCGCAAGTTACTGCAGTAACCACCCTAAATTTTCCCGTGTGACACACACATAGATAATGAGAGGAGGATGGGGTACTATTTAAAAACTGGGTCATTCCCTATTAGTGCAGATAAAAGATGGTCTTCGAGAGGAAAAAAGTCTATGAAGCAGAAAAAGAGAGGAAAAAAACGACATGACAGCATTCTTTAAAAAAAAAAGTCACAGCTCTTTACAGGACTCAGTACTAGGGGTTCATTCCTTGGTTTTATTTGTTTAGTTACTCCAGAGTTAAAAGGACCCTGCCTTCCGAAAAACCATCCCTCACAAAGAAGCCCTGAGGGTCAGGCACCGTAAAGCAGAGAAGAAAACGTCCTCAACTCACAGGCGACACCTGCCCAGGTCTCCCTCCTCCCAGTTGTCCCTGGCACTTCTCAGTCCCCCAATCCCTCTCAAGACAGCCCGCCACCCCTGGCTCTAGCTCTCCGCACTCTCGGCCTCAACCCCTCTGGGAAACCCCGATCCGGCTCCCTCCGCACCCCGGCCCCAACCCAGGCGGCGCCCGCGGTACCTGGGCCAAGACCTCTCGCTCTAGAACGCAAATGATTCTCAGGGGCCCGGGAGGCGGCGCGGGGAGGCTCTTCAGAAGCAGCCTTTCCCCGACCGCTTCCCGCAGGCTCCGGGGACTCCCCGCCCCCGGAAACCGCAGAGATTTAGACCGGGAACTCCAGCCGCGGCCACTCTCAGCCTCCTCGGCGACCCCCCCGTAGGCCGGCCACTCGGAACTCAGCGCTCCCGGCTCTACCTGCCCGGCGTCCTCCCAGCCTCCCAGCGCAGGCCCGCGAGGGCACCACGCAGGCTTCCTTCCCCAAAGGCCCCGCGCCGCAACCTCACCTGCCGCCCGCTCCTCAGTCAGCGCTACCGCGACACGGCTTCTTCCTGGAGCATGAAAGCGCCGGCTTCGCGGCCTGGGCGCGCTCTGCAGGGCAGGGCGGGAGACTGGCTCCAGCGGCCGCCGCCGCCTCGCCCCGGTCTGCGCCTGCGCCGCCTCGCGGGCTGGGTTTCGGAGGGGCGCCGCCTGCAGCCGGGGGTAACGGCCGGAGCGCTGGTCAGCACGGGCGCCTCGGCGCTCTGTGCCGTAGGGCAGTGCGGCCGGCGGGTTGCCTAGGAGCTGCCTGCGGCGCGGTCGTCCCAAGACCAGACCGCCATGTTTCCGTTCCCGTTTTCCTTTTCTTCCCCTCCTTCCGCCCCTTTCCAGAGAACACACTTTCCTTTCCCCCTCCCTCTCCCTTTCCTCCTGCGGGGGCGGGGGGAAAAGGGCGGGGTGGGGGCAGAAAAAGGGGGAAAGGGGCGGGGCGGCGCTCACGCCCCGCCCCAGGGGAGGGCCGAGGCCCCGCGGCCACCGCGCCTCTCTCCCCAACCCCTGCGCGACCCTACGGGGCGAGGGGTCTGAAACCTGCGGGCTTCCAAGCCCCTCCTCCGCGTTCTCGCGGCCGGGAGTGCAGAAACTGAGGTGGAGAGAAAGGGCTCAGGAGGCCGCTGTGCACCCATTCCTGCGGGGTTCAGACTCGCCTGTGATGTGCGTTTATTGCCTTGGACTCAGGCAGGTGGCGGCTGCTTCTCTCCGAGTTTTCAAAGACAGGAAAAGTAATGCCGAGTAGCTGAAGGTCACTGGAGACAGTGCCGGGAGGTAAGTGAAGATTTCCTTCCCACGGTGGGAACTGGAATTCCCACGCATGAGTAGGGGGCTCCAGGACCCCAGAGAGAACGCACGCTCACGCTTCCCGAAGCCCCTTGGCTCCGGCACCCCTTGTGAGTTTCTGGGCGCACTAGGTGGGTGTCGCTTCTTTGGCCCAGATTTGAGGATGGGAATTCCTAATGGAGAAATTTTCATTTGCATCATTAGCACCCTCACGCCTCCTAAGTGTAGCCTCATTATCCACACTGACGCCGGCCGAGTCATTTCGCTGTAATGCAAATTTTGCAGGATATTTTTGGACAGCGTTTTTAAGTTATCATAGTAAATGAAAAAGAACAATCACTAGTTATTTAGGAAAAAGGAAATGGTTTGAAATATATTGAGAACTTTTTATCTCTGGCAAAATTAGAAAAACAACTTGGCAAATGACTTCACAGATTCCGTGATGGGTCAAAATCAGAACCGGTAAGATTTTTGCATATCTGGTGAGTATCCACATACATGATGATCATTTTCCTGAGAATTACACTCTTCTTATTCAATCTGTATTTTTGCATAAAAATATGAGATTAGACCTGGGGCATAGATGCACTGCTGTCCATTTATTTGTGAAGTTTATTGCATATCCATGGATAATTTGAGTTTTATATTCAATAGCAGAATCTATTTTTCTAACCACATAAGCAGTGAGAATTGATTTCAGGAGAAATACACAGCAATAAAAATAAGACTTATTTAATAACAGTTTGGAGCCAGTTTGGGCCCCCCGAAAACTATCTTTGACATTGACAACCCGAAGAGCAGAAGTTTGTGAAAGGATCTAATACTTCAAAATTTAACTTGTGGACTTACTTTCTTTCCTTCACAAAGTGTAAGTTAATTACAGTTTTAAAGTAATATAAATTTCTGTGGCCGGGCGCGGTGGCTCAAGCCTCTAATCCCAGCACTTTGGGAGGCCGAGGCGGGTGGATCACGAGGTCAAGAGATCGAGACCATCCTGGTCAACATGGTGAAACCCCGTCTCTACTAAAAATACAAAAAATTAGCTGGGCATGGTGGCGCGTGCCTGTAATCCCAGCTACTCAGGAGGCTGAGGCAGGAGAATTGCCTGAACCCAGGAGGCGGAGGTTGCGGTGAGCCGAGATCGTGCCATTGCACTCCAGCCTGGGTAACATGAGTGAAACTCCGTCTCAAAAAAAAAAAAGTAA